CAACTGATTTTTGAACATTAATTTTGTAACCTGCTACCTTGCTGAATTCTTCGATCAGCTCTAGAAGCTTTTTTGTGGACCTTTTAGGGTTTTCTATATATAGTAACATGTCGTCAGCATATAATGACACTTTTACCTCTTCTTTTCCAATTTGGATCCCTTTTATTTCTTTCTCTTGCCTGATTGCTGTGGCTAGGACTTCCAAGACTATATTTAATAGGAGTGGTGATAGTGGGCATCCTTGTCCCAGATTTTAGTGAAAAGCTTTTGATCTGTGCTTGCATGTTGTCCATTTTTTCCTTAGTGCTCTTAGCAGATTAATCATAATTGTTTCAAATTCATGGTCTGATAATTTCAACATTCCTACCATATCTAAGTCTTCTTTTGATGCTTGCTTGCTTTCTCTCTCTCTCTCCAAACTGCCTTTGTAGTATGTGTAGTATATCTTTTTTGTTGAAAACCGGAAATGTACTGGTAATGAGAACTGAGATAAATAGGCTTATAATGTGAGGTTTCATATTTACCTGCTAGAGGTTAAACTGTATTAACCGCTCTATCTGTTGGTGTCAGAATCTAAGTCATCATTCTGCATCCTTGTTTTTGTCTCCATACTGCCTTTGGGTTTCCCTGGAGCCACTGTAAATAACATCTATGCATAGTTCTTTTAGCTGTACTTCCCTACTATACAAGAGCTCTACTAATGTGGTGTTAATGTGTGGTAGGGGAGAGAAATCATTCTATAGTCGTATGATTAGATCTTATTTGCTAATTAACCTGCATCTCTATATTGTAATCTTAGCACACACTTCTCACTTTTGTTTTGTTTTCCCAACTTAGTTGAGACAGGAAAACTAGAGAGGGCTGGAGTTGGGTATTTCTCTTCCTCCAGTCTAGGTCTCTTTCTCCAGTCTTTCTCTAGACTCTGATGGAAACGCAGTCAATTATCCTCTGGTTAAATAGTTTATTTGAGTGCACTCCTTGTTAGAGAAACAATTTTTGGCCATATATCAAGATAGGTAATTTCTCTCTCCCTTTGTACAAGGTCATTTTTCTCCAGTCTTCACTATGATAAACTGGTAGTATTCTCGGATATAAAATTCATAAAAGTGTAGGGCCCCCCTGGAAATTTTAACTCTCAAACTTGTCCATGCTGAACCTCCAGCAGTTGGTCAATTGCAGTCTAGATTTCCATTCCATTGTAATTATTCTTCTTGGATTTTCACTTTCTGGCATTCTGCTACAGCAAGTGTCTATTCTCTGTATCTTCCTGTTTCTCTTCAACTTTTGAGACAGTAGTTTCCCTGCAACATCAGTTTTCTGTTGGTTCTGAGAAGAGCTGTTGATTTTCAGTTTGTTCAGTTTTTTTTCTTTGTGTGGAAATGGAAATGAGAATTTCCAAGCTCTTAAAATACCAGCCCAGAAACCTAAAGTAAAACTTACATTTCCAATAATCAGAATAAACTTACAAGGCAGATTTCTTTATTATGACCATAGTATAAGTTGAGGAAACTGACCCACTGAGTACCTTAATTATGTGACCAAGGGTACGTAGTGAAGAACTGTCAAAATAATCTGGGTCTAGAAACCACAAGCCTAAATATATTTCACTAACCCACATATACATATCTTCAAGTTTGATAAAGGTTTTGTAAATTCTAGTCTCAAATATACTCTTATTTTTTCATCCTATATCACTTTTTCCTAATTCCCAATATCCTTTGCTGGGTATGTCTCCTCTTTTTAACCTTCAAAATGGAAAGGATCTGTCATGCACCTCATTAGAGCTTCACTAACTCACATTCTCTCTTTCTCTCTCTCCTTCTTCCCCTCCCTTTCTCCCAATTTCACTCTCTTTCTCTCTTTCCATTTCTCTTCACACCAAGACACATGCAAAGGAACCAAAAGGTTGACTGCTCATTTTCCACAATGCTCTTCATCAATTTATGACACATTTTGGAATTGCCTTTACCATAAACAGTAGGTTATGGCTTTCCCAGATGATCATGCAATAGTATCTGTACCCACCTCCTCACATGACTCACTAACTGAAATGTCAAACTCACCAGAACTTCCACCTACAATACGCTGTAAGTCATATGGGTTGTTGGATCGGCCATAGATCTTGTTACTGGATTCATACCACATACACAGCTCACTACAGTTGGTAATGCCAAGGGGAATGGCACCAGCTTCCTTCAGTAAAGCTACTACAGTGGCATCTGTTTTGGAAATGGCATTACGACGACTCACAAGGCCAGAAGAATTAGGCATTCCTATAAGGGACACAAGAAAAGGAAGTTAAAGTGTTATTAAATAGCAATAACAACAATTTACTGAGTAACTACAATGACTCAGCACAGCTATTGTGGGAGATTTGCTTAGTACTGAGTACTGGGAGGTTGAATAACTTATTGGAAAGAAGAGAGGCTTTGGAAACAGACCTGAGTTCAAATCCTGTCTCTGTAGCTTTCCAATCCTACTAATTTAGGAAAGTAACTTAACTTTACTGAATCTGATTTATATGGAATAAACGATATAATGAAAGTAAAATGTCTGATAAATAGAAGCTATTATTATAAGATCCACCACCAAACAACCTTGTGAAGTACCTTTATAACCAATCATAGAGAAGAATAATTTTAGAGAAGTAAAAAGGTACAATATCAAGGTCATGCAGAAACACTAGAGAGAGGATAGAAAAAGATATATATATATATATATATATATATAGAGAGAGAGAGAGAGAGAGAGAGAGAGAGAGTAGTAGTATATATAGTATATATATAATAATAATAAACTAATATACAACCTAATAACTACGTAAGTAACGGTTAACGTTTAGTTAAGTAAAGT